AACGCAATATTATCCATTAGATGATTAGTAACCTGTACAATTACTAGGATCTATACATACACCATTTTCTTATAATAGTTGACCACTTTCACACTTGTAAGCACATTAAGTAGCTTATGGGGAAGGTTTTACTTCAGGAAATTGGCACTCACTAACACATCTTTATCCATTAGCACTCAATATACCGGTGCATTTATTGATATCTTTACAAGATAAGCTAGCAATATCAAATATTTAACTACTTGGACATTTTGATTTGCAGCTTATTCCATCTGTATCTAAGCCTAAGGGACAAATAACACAGAATAACTAATTATTCAAAGGCATTATACCCTCATTAGTTCCGCAGGTTTTAACACAAGACTATCTATCAGAAGACACATAACTAGCACAGCTACTTATAGGCACACAAGTTTTGATAGCGCTATCCATAGAGAGGACATAACCTAGTTAACATTGAGTTAAGCACATACCATCTTATTTTATTCCTGTGCATTAAGATGAATTTTAGCATTATCTAAGTTAAACATCATATAGCTCATCAGCAGCACAGCTATCATTACAAGATTTACCATCTGAAGAAAGCTTTTGCATACAGGGCAAGCATGTTAATAATTTCTAAGTAGGTAGTAATTAAGGGAATTATCCAGCTGGACATGAAGTAAGGCAGGTTAGTCCATCCATAGACAAGTAATTAGTGCATTAATTTATTGAACTACATTAATTATTTACAGCAAATTAAAAAAAGGGACAAGTTTCAACACAATATTTATACACAATATTATCTTTATTTTCTGTTAAAATGAAATGACCCTTTTAGCATTCAGCAACACATTAGAATTAATTAAAGTTTTATCCATTTTCAGCATACTAATCTGAAGGGCAGTTTGCTAAGCATTTCTTTTAATCAATTGATACGTAGCCATTGCAACTCTTTATACTTGGTAAGCAGAATTTTCCAGTTGCATCTTAGATTGGACAAGTATCAACACACTAAATTAATTAAGGATCAAAGAATTTATCAGCAGGGCAAGACTAGCAAATGCTATATTGTTAATCTTTAACTTAAACAGGGATCAAATTAGGAGGACAATTTTTAACACACCATTAGTTTTTATTATCATCAGTATAGACATTAAATTTGCATTGAGAAACTGATGACATGCAATTATACATTAACAAAACTTCCCCAGTATTGCATTAACTAACACAAGTAGATCCATCATTGCTGACATAAGGCAAAGAAGGAGGACACAACTAACATTAGACGTAAGATTAACCTTAAACTTAAGGTAAAGCAATCTATTATTGAGGACATTAAGGTAAGCAATCATACATATTAGCTGCAAGATAAAGATTACAGGAAGTATTATTGATAGCACCTGCGATTCCATTGTTGTTATTATTATTATCATTGCTTGGTTTCTAATTTCCATCATTGTTTGTAGCACAAGCTCCACTAGCATAACAATTAACACATAGTTTCGGAGTTTGAGTGTTATCAACAATATAAGTAGGAGGACATACAGATATGCAAGCTTATTAATCCCTAATAAAATAAGCTTAACACTAAGAAGGGGAACTCAAGCATTTTTGAGTAGTATAATCTGTAATCATATCAAATGGACAAGTCTCATAGCATTTTCCGTTTTCATCTTAGAATTAGCAAGGAATACAATATTAGTATTTTTTTCCTTATGCAGATTTTATAGCATATCCTTTTGGACACTAGCTTGAACATACATTGTAGGTTTAGATGAAAAATTAAGTACAATAACTATCATCAGTCAAACAAGTTTTAGTATCAGCATTTCCTATTTAAGGATACACGCACTTTGATACGCAATTACCATCTTTGTCAGTATAAAAGCGGCAAGAGCCAGCTAAAATCAAAGGCAAAAATCCTGCTATTATCAAGAATAGTAAAGTAGTTTTTAATTTCATTTAATTATATTTATTTATTTTTTAATTAATATCAATTATAAACTTAAATTAAAATCTCCTTTTTATATCTTTTTTATCATTTGAACAAGAAACAAATAAATAAATATATTGAGCACTAAATATAAGAAGTAAAAAATTACAATTTTTACTATTTATTTATCAGCATTTCCAAATTTGTAATCTAAATTTAATGTAAATAGATAATTCGAAATTTAATAATTTACAAATTAAAGATAAATATAAAATATTTATGTGATATT